AAGCCCCTATAGTTAATTACCCCTCCCGATCACGAGAGAGAACTTTCGATTAAGGCTAGTCGTCAATCAGATACGTATAGAATACGTGTTATCTGCATATAGTAGCAGCAATAAGTTTGGAATTTGGAGAACTGGATTTGGATTTGGGAATTTGGAAAGTATTGAAAAGTTTGATAATTTGGGCATATTTGATATTTAAAATAGGAATTGCACCATCTTGCACTTAAAGCGGATGGTGGTTCTTAACATTGGTGAAGTGTAAATCTGAAGAAGACTTTTTAGTATTATAAGATTTTGCTTTCATCTCCAAACTATTCTGTTACAAAAACTTTCCTGCATTACTAATCGTCTTTTTGACCTAAAAAGCTTAAGCTGATGGTGTCGTACGCTATTTTCTATTTAATTTTTAACATGCCCTTGTAATTGCCAATGTATGGTAAGCACAGGCTGGACTATCAATTCTTACATACAACAAATCCAATGTCCATTAATTTATTCATCTGATTACCTTGAAATAATCGTAATCAAACAATACAAATTGAAAAAAATAATCTCTGCATATACTGATATTTTACATTCAAATCTCACGTAGATCATATTTAAGTCAATTCAACCAAGCACAATGGATCAATCAGAATGATCAGTTCTACAAAGTCATGGGAATATAGCATAATCGCCATTGAGTATTCGACGAGGGCTGATTAAGGGGAATTTTCCCTAGGCAAGCAAAGGCTACTGGATCAAGAATCAAAGGCTATTCGCCTATGTTTTTCACTAAAAACATCAGAACTCAACGAGCCATGGCGGAGTCGTTCAAAGATTTCACATGGACTTGCCATTAACTTAAAAATCAATATGTAAATTATATAGTCTTTATTTTACAACAAATAATTATTAAATTTTGCTATATAGTTTTACTTGTATTGTTCAAATGGGATTTTTCCTACAACATTGTGCCTTAATCCAAATCTATTTATGAGTGATTATGGGCTAAGCCTAACACTTACAATCATTTTACACTTTCCGACAATTTAGTGAAATTCTAAACAATTACACTCTAAAATTTTTTTCCCATTGTACTATTCTCTTGTTTCTCAGCCACTCTTGTTAATAAGATTTTGGTGTTACTTACAGATAATTTTAAATCTAAAAGATAAAATATGTTAAGATACTACAATAACAACATCATCAAACATATATCTTACTACGTGGGGTTGGCCATATGAATTTTTTATTTCTATTGTGTTATATTAAGAGTCAAATTCTCATTTAAATCTAATAAAAAAAGGTCATTTCTAAGAATACTTTAGAACCAAGTCTTTTTAGGTTTACCTTTACCTTTCTTAGCATAGGCTGGATTTAATACATCTATATGCATAACGGAGCCATCAGAAAGCCGACGTTTTATGTGACCAAATCATCTAAGATGACTATCTCTAATCTTATTTGCTATTGGAGCGACTACAACCTTTTGGCGTATATACTCATTTTGCATTCTGTCCATTAAGTATAAAGTCACTCATCCACGCGAGCATTCTCATCTCTACAACACTTAACTTAATTTTATGCTTAACTTTTAATGACCAATATTTTGCATCATAAATTATGGGTCTCACCACCATCATATAAAAATTTTCCTTAAGTTTGAGGAGTACTTTTCTATCACACAACATTCATGATGCTTTCCTCCACTTCAACCATCCAACTTGAATTCTATTAATAAGATCCCCCTCTATTTCACCATCATTTTGAACAATAGATCCAAGATATCTAAAATGTTCACTCATTTCAATAATTTGATCACCCAATATTACAATCCCACCACAAGATCTATTACTAAAATTATACACCATGTATTTGGTTTTAGATCTACTCAAATGAAAACCTTTAGACTCTAATGTTGACCCTATAATTCAACTTTTCCTTAAACTCCCTCTCGTCTTTTCAACAAGAAGATTATAACAAGAAGATTATAATCAGCAAAAACCATACACCATAGTACATCCTCTTGCATAAACACTGTCATTGCCGAGTCCTAAGTTTTAGATGAAAAAAGTGGAGGGTTGTGTTAGGTAGACGACAACCAGCATAAAACTTGTCGAAATAATCATGACATACAATATGTAAAGATGAGAAGATAAAATGCTCAAATTTAGCTAGATGTTCGAAACATAAAATACATTTTAACCAAAACTGGAAACAATATTAAGGATTATTTTTTTTTCAAAAATAAATTTAAGTGTCTTTTAATTTTAAGCATTTTATCTTCTTCCCTAACACACATTTAACTTGATGCAACTAGATTTCCTGCAAAACCACAATGAAAAACGAGAAATCTATTTTTGGTGCAAAAATACTCATGAACCTGAAGCATTCAACAACAATATTTCTATTTCTCAGTTTCTTCTAAACACTTTATGAGAGAACAATCGTAGGCTAGTGAAGATAAAGTATGTAGAAACTGAGAATTTTGGAGAAGTATATAACTGACCATATCGTTTCTGCATTTTCATGAGCAAGGGTCCAATTCTTTGCCGGATTGTATACATTGTACGCCCATACTCAGCAGCTGGCCATATTTCTTCACCAAACACAGCACTGCATACAAGCATTATGCATCCGGTTCATTTTGAATTTGATTGGAAGCCAGTATTGAAAGAAAAATAAATAATAAGATAACTGACTTATAATAATTATTCTGAGAGTGTACAAAAGAAGCCCTTATTTCACTAAAGAACAATAGAAATATACTAATGTTTTTTTAAATAGTGAACAATTTCAGTAATACCTAGTTGATCCAAAAATGTAATTAAAACTGAGCTAGTAGCATAATTATATTTTAACAAATTTCCTTCTCTTTATCGAAACTTTTGATTAATCAATTAAAACAACTGCATAGTGTTCCCTCCTATAAATTCTGAACTGTAGGAATTTCTCCAAAATTTCTAATATTATTTGTTTTATTTTGTAAATTAAATGCGAATAAAGTAATGGATAATACTTTTTTAAATAATCAAAATATGATTGCTTGATTTCAAAGGGTGCGCTAAGCAGGAGTGATGCGCAAAATTATTTTTTTGGATGCCAAGCCAATGAGGTAGGGCAATTTATCCATTCTGTGCCTTAAGTTTTTTTTTTTCCACTTTTAGGTTGGGTAAATTAAAATATAATGCATTTTAACTAAGTGCATACGGAAAATTCAAGTATTTGGTTGGATGAATTTTAAATGCAATGTAATTAGAGATGTAAACGAGTCGAGCCAAGCTCGAGTCACCCTTGGCTTGAGCTTTAGCTTGATTAATTAATCGAGTTCGAGCTCAAACTCGTACTTGAACTTTATTTTTCAAGTTCAAGCCGGCTCGCTTATTATGAAAGAGAGAATGATTATGTTTTAAGCAATTATTATAATAAAATATTAAAAAAAATAAAAGAAAAATAATAAAGAATCACTTAATGTAAGAAAGTCAAATATAATTTTTAAATATGTTTAACAACCTAGTACTTAAAATGATGTAGAACAAAATGCTTGATTAAATATATAATGTTGAAAATAAACGCCTTCTGAATTAAAGCAATAATAATTATGTTTACATTTAGTAATTTAAACAAATGTTAGAACATTAAAGAGATGATTAAAGCTTAGGCTAAACTACATGTAAAAGTTTAGATTCATGAATAATCAATTCTAATCAAGATTAGTATTGTATGGGGGACTTCCAATAGAGATCCCTAATTTAACAATAAGATTAGGCACTATTAGAGTCTACTCACTCAAACTCTTGATGTGGGCTAAACAGAGATTGGTTGCACGACCCTTTATGATGCCACAAATTAACGAGAAAACTTAGAAAAGCAAAAGACTTAGAGTAGAAATTCACCTTGATCAAGATTTGGAAACTATCCGCCACTGAACGGACGAGAGTTGTTCGTCGATGGCGTTTGTGAGAGTAAAGACAATCCTCTCAACGCATTCTTCTACGGTTTGATCAATCTCAAGGTTGATGTCGAAGAACGGAGACTTAAGGATGTCGACTTGCCCTTGATCATTGTAAATGAAACCGTGATCAAATTATGGATCCACCATGCATGTGGGAATAGCCAATTTTAATGTACTAGCGCTTTCGGACAGCAAACGGTTTCTTTTTGGAGGGTTGGACAACAAAGATCCTTGCCGAAATTTTTTGGATAGCAAGCTATTTTTAGAAAAAAGAGGGAAGACGTGAGGGGGAGACTTGGGAGGAAGCGGCTAGGGTTGAGAGGGGTTAAGGAGGGGGGGGGTGATTTGAGAGTTTAGTGGAGTAGTTGAATTAGATAGGAGAGAGGGAGAGGGGTGGCTGGTCTTGGAAGGGAATTAGTGGATTGATTAGAGGGTTTAATTGGGGCATTAATTGAATAGGAGAGAGAAAGGTGGGATGACAGCCCTTGATTGGGATTGAATGGGGATTAATGAGAGGGAATTAGTAGTTGCTAGAATTAGAATTTTAAAATTAGGAAAGAGGTTTAAATCATCTCCTATTTTAAAATTCAGATTTGAAATAATTAAAAGGGTTTCCTAAAATAAGTTGTATTGTTTAGGAAAGGATTTGAATTTGAAGTGTCTTGTAAGAGTCAAGTTTGTAAGTCTTTCCTTTTATATGATATAAAAAGTTTGTTTTGTCTAATTAGTCTAATTTTTGTGAGTTATTGTAATCTTTTATTCTCTACAAAGAGTTGTTTTTTTGTGATAAAAAATTTGGGTCCCTCCCCAAATTTTTGATTGCATCACAAATACAATAACAGACCAAAAGACAATAGTGCCCCCATGGGGTCACAAACACCTACGCCCTCAAGTGAGGGTAAAATCAAAAAATAAACAACAATAAATCAAATGCAATAAATAACTCAAAAATAAAGCGAGGTAATAGTGGTTGTCGATCGTCAGCCCCGTCTCTGGTAAACTCTCCATGGTCGAATGCCCTCATCATAAAATCATGTGTTAATATATTTTTAAGTTTTTTTTTATATTAATATTTTTTTTAAACAAGCTATCTCTTGAACAAACTAGTAAAGTCAAGACTAGTTCAAGATTGACTCGTTAGCTCATCAAACTAAGCTCATGAGCCATTTATGAAGTTGAGCCTGAGCCGGCTCATGAGTCAGCTTGACTCACTTACACCCCCAAACATAATTCATTAGTCAATTTCACAATCTAGTTACTAAATTAACCGCTTTTAAAATATACTATAAATTATCTGTTATTGCCGCCGCAACCTACTCCTGCCACCATTGTCATCAGCACCCCCGCTCATCATTGTTGGCTGCCTGTTGCCACCTTCCATTGCCTACAACAACCAACCACGGCCTGACGGCTGCCACTGCCACAACCCACCTCCTGCCCACTGATGGTCGTAGCCCGCCTGCCATTGGCAATAGCTCATTCTCGTCGTCAGCTTTTGTCGTCGCTGCCCACCGCCGTCTGCTAAAACTACTGGTCATCGACCATCACCATCTTTGGGTTGTACGCTACATTCATTTTACTTCAAACCAAACAAAAAATAATAATTACTTGCATTTATTTTACACTCATACAAACAACTCCAAATATTTTAAATACATTATATATTTTTACATTGTATTCTATTTTATTTTGCATTCTTTTTTCATCAAACTAAATAGCCCCTAAAAAACATTTTAATACATGGAAAATGTATACAAATGGATATAAGCTGATCTTACAAAGTCTATCACACCGTGGACCAACTGAAAAAAAATGAACTCATCTAAAAAGAGTTGAAAGTAGACTACTAAATCTAATCGCATATATGGACAAAGTTACCATTAAACATTTCAAGAGGCTCTATGGGGCAGGTTGAAATGGGATTTAAATTGGATTTAATCTATAGTTTTCCTAACGCTATATAATAAGTTTCAAAATTTCACCTAAAATAAATTCTGGATTTAATAAGATTTGATAAATCTTGGCTAAAATTTAGGATTTGACATTTCAAGAAATTTAATTCAGCAGAATTTACTAAATCTCCAATTTTAATGTACAAATAAACATGTTAGAGATTTGTTTGGATTTAAAATAGAACCACCAAAATTTTTACCAATTGCTATTAAATACTGCTTGATAGATTTACTAAAAAGGGCCAGTTAATTTAAAGCTTCAACAGGATTGATAATGATATAACATACATCAAAAGTGGGAAAAAGTTCAGAGGATTTAGCAGTGCCCGAAATATATCAGGTCTGAAATGACTAGCAACATTGGATTAACAAAGCGCTTAGATATACAAAGCTTGAGCATTGGATGATTAAGCTGTTAATCATTCCCTTGATGGCCGTCTCAGCAATCAGGTTCCTCCTTGGATGGTAGTTTCCGCAACCAGGAAAATTTCTCTTTTATGATGTGCTGATTTTGGTTAGTCTCTGTTTAATCTTTGCTCATTCTGAGTCCAGTTGTAATTTTTAAAATGTTTTTTTCTGGTTAATCTCTTTTTAATCTTCCCTGCTGGCTTTGTGTTCGGCTTAGTTTGCTTTATATTTTGGCCTGTTTTCTTTTTGTTCTTTCACAGCTTTTTGTTTCATAAAGGTTGTAACTATTTTTCATAGTGAATGAAATTTGGCACTGTCCTAAAATTCCCCAAAAAAAAGAAGAAGAGGATTGTGCAGACTCAGAAGAATTCAAAATTACTAGATAATAAATAGAATGTACGGCTTTAATAAAAGCCCATTGGATTGCATATATGTTCACATTTGCAAGTTTTAAGAAATGTACGACATTAACATTATTCAAAACATAAAATCTTAAAATTCGATTCGCAGTGTTAATAGATGTTCATAGAATTCTTTCTTTCTTGTTTCGGCTCTTAATTTTCCAATTCGAAGTGTTCCATCGTAAACTTTTGCCGGATCAAATGACATGAAATTGCAAAGGTTCTTGCAGGGCTGATGAGTAAGGAGAGAGTTCCATACCTAGTGGCAATGACTTTGTCTCCCACAGCAAACTTGCCAGTCTTGTCTGCAAAGCTTCCCGGAGCTATGGCATCAATGTAAGTGGATCCATCCCTTCCCTTTGTAAATCTCAACCCATAAGGCTTCTCAATCTCAACCTCATACTCCTCATACTTCTCATCATCTTCTTCCCCCTCGCCCCCCTCCGACTTCGATGGCTCGGATTCTGTTTCTGATAAAGAAGCCCTAACCACGAAAGCCGCGCAATTTGTCAACTGCTGGTTCCCCCTGGCTTTGGCAAAGGAATCGGAAAGGGTTATGAACTTGGCATGGGACAGAAATGGGTTCTGTCTGCCGTGCTTTGATCTTGGAAGAGGAGATGAACAGAGATAGGGATTAGTGATGGAAGCTACGGACATGGTTTCTGTGCTTCCGTTCCAACCTTTTTGCTTAGTTTATGATGGTTCAGAGATCAGAGAAAGAGGGCTTGTGGATGGGAGAGAAGGGTTTTTGCCTTTTTGGATTACATGGAGTCTCTGCACTTGTGGCTCTCCTTTTGCAGTGAAGAAGACACAATTTGAAATAGTGGGTACAAATTCGGGTTTATGGGTCAGTTTTGATTTATTTGAAAAAATAGGTCAATTATGATCTATTTGAAAATAGTAGATCAGTTTTGATCTATTTAAAAATAATTAAACACGAATATGATTTACTAGAAATTCTGAAATTGACACTTTTGTTAAGTAGATTGAAAATCTCAACATGAACCTGACCTAATCAAATTTCTAGTAAATCATATTCGTGTTTAATTATTTTTAGTTGAGTACAAATATTATTTTTATATAAGTTCTATTTATTTTTAGTCATAAATTTATATTATTTGTATTATTATTATGTCATTTAAATCTTGTGGAGAGTGAAGATAGAGAGAGAGAGCTCACCTAAGAAAGGGGAAGAGAGAAAATTACAAATTTCACATCCACCCTTAGCTAAGCCTTAATTTGATGGAAGATGAGGGGGAAAATGTGAAAACTCATGTAAGTATGTAATTACCAATTCTCCATGATGTAAATTTTATAAATGGACGTGGAATTTTATGTTGTAAGTAACCATATTTTGAAATGCAATTACGATTATTACTCTTTTTCTGAACTAAGTTTGGTGGCTAATTTTTTTATCTCTTTGTTGATGAATTTGATAATGATATCCATCCTTTGCTGTCCTTTTAGTTTTTTTTATATGTTGTTGTTGTCTTGTTTGCAACTACTACGAGCCTTCACCCGAACGTTAAAAAAATAAAAATCATTTTTGCATATGTGAACAGTGCGACGCCTCAAAAAAACCTGTTTTTTTTTTTAACGAAAATAAAGATAAGAAAGAATATACGTGATTTTTTTTTGTAAGAACTGAAGTTCTGTTGAAAATAAATTACTATTTAATATGACTATTAAAGCATTTTAAAGTAGAAAATAAAGAGTTCGATTGGAGATGCCCTTCTTTGTACTCTTCTTCCATAACTCTTCAAAGTTGTATCACCGCTTCATTAATTTGTATTAGAGCTTTGGATGATGATTATTTTAAGTGAAGATCAAGTGATTCAAATTTACTGACAACACTGATCCTTTGAAAGGTTTTCTTACGGCATCTCCATCCGAAGAACTCATTTTTCACTTCAAAATGCAATAAAACTTTAAAATGTAGTCATTCTTCTCCAATTGAACATCATTTATTTTTCTTTGGCGCACTTCTTGCGAAGGTAATTATCTTTGGCGCTCTTTTCTCCTCTTTTGTGCGCTTCTTCGATAAATCCCGCAACGATAATTTTTTTTGACATAGGTGAACAATCCAACGCTAATATTGGCATCCCACTGTTCACCTACCTGGATTTGATGTGCGATTTGGAGTTTGGATGGAGTAGATGGTGGGATGGGATACGGTGGTATGGAGTTTGGTTGGAGATGGTCTTATATATAGCTATGAGAGTGTGCTGAAAATTCACAAGTACATTTCTTTTGCTTTGGTTACTTAAAAAAAAAAAAAAAACTAGAGCAAATAATACCAAGATTTTTATGTGGAAAAACTAAAAAGGTAAGAAAACACGAGGTCTGGCCTAGTTTGAATGAATCCACTTATATTTGTAATTGATTGCAAATGACACCCCTCCTTGAAGAAGGGTGCTGGCTCAATGTAACAAATACACATTGTGTAGAGTGCATTACATGGCAGCTATTCTTAAGAGAGTGTTGGCATGTTTGTTTAGTCATTAAGGCTGTAGTCAACAGACGATGGTGGTCGAAAGGATTGCAATCAGCAAGCGACGATGGTCGGAGTAATCGTAATCGACGGGTAACGATTGTCGATGGCACTATAGTCGGCGGACAAAAATGGTCGGAGGGACCGTAGTCTGCAGGTTACGGTGGTCTGTAAAAACCTGGGCAATGGCAGCGCTGGAGGGAGCAAGAGAGATCTCAAGTTTTCTTGTTTTTTCCTCTCCTTCTCATGAGAAGAATGAGAGGCTATTTATAATTTTTTTAGAGTTGCACGACTAGTAAATATGGAAAAAATTAAGGGAAAGTTGGGAGTGTTCCAACAGATGGCCAATGTCAACTCCCTTGATCATGAATCATTTATGGAGCATTTAAGTGTCTTAATGATGTAAGAATTAAGTATTCTTGGGCTCATTGGATTTGTCTCGTCAAGCCGCTCGATTTGACTATAAGTATGCCACATTCAAATATTATTTGGTCATACAATTAATGATCTGAAGCTTTCTAGTAGGCTTTGATCCTTTAATTTGTGATCATTTGGGCTCGGACTGGACTAAACTTGGTGTAATTGTGATCGTCTCATTAAGACGATCAATTTGACTATAAGTTTTCTTAAATCGGAGTTTAGATTGTCTCATATTTAATGTTTGAAATTTCTTACTCATATTTACATTGAGATTCGCATTTGATCCTTTTTTTTTGTGAGATATCAAGAAGGAATATATGCTAAGATTTCATACCGTAAGCACCACACCATGAAACAAAACAGAGAAAACACCACTTTACAAACTATATAATAACATTTACTAGAAACCAAGTTACAATAAGCAGCTACTGGCTTCTCTCTCTCTCTCTATCTCTGTATACCAAATATTAAATAACCTTCAAGAATAAGCCAGTTCATATACAGAAACGTCTTACTATTTTGCAAAACCATCATAAATAATAACCATAGTACTTCAGATATTCAAAACATTCCTCTTAGCTTGTCTACAAACAATGCAGCTGTGTGGTTTTTACTTTGGCTTTACAACTCTCCAGATGTTGCACAAGCCTGTTCTATAGATATTTGCTGTGCTGCACCAAAAAAAAAACCTTTTTAAGTTTAGCCCAAAAATAAGGTGAAGGTTTGATTGAAGAATTCAATTTTCTTCTTGTTTTTCAGAAGTTCCTACAATGATAAATAGTTTTTTTAAAACCAAATCTTCGACAAATTGAAGGATTCAATTTTCTTGTTGTTTTTTCAGAAGTTTCTACAGTGATAACTATTTTTAAAAAACGTTCATGTCGAGATAATTTTTAAAAAAATTATAAGATTCATAACAACTTTTAAAAAATCTACTTTTTCGATAAAAGCTTCACAATAAATTTTTAAACAGCTACAATCACACCAAATGGCCCCTTGCAGCTATCAGGAAAAGCAGTTGTAGAATATCTGTTAGAAAAGCATACTTAAAAGTTATTGTGGATATTACAAATTTTTTCTTCTAAAAAAAGTAGAACAGTAAGTTTCATATAACTATCACATTTTAATATATTGTATGATAAAAAACATGGGCGGATCCAGCTTCTTTTTCAGGGTGGGCAAAATTTTTTTGGGGGGATTCCAAATTTAGACTTAAGCTCGACTTTTGAGCTTGAGTGAAAAATTGTAGCTCACTAGAGAAGCATTGATGGGACATGGCGGCTCACAATGGTGTGTGTTGGAGAACGTATAATCGTGACTTGCGAGAAGGCTGTGAAGTGCGAACTAAGAGCGATTCTTGAACGTTGAATGCGACTAGGTAGAAGAGGGCTGCGAAGACGAAGGCGGCGACGTCTTGAACATCGAATGCGACGGGGAAGAAGAGATTAGTGAAAGCGGCTGTGAAGTACGAATTGGCAGGATGGACAAGGACGCTTGGGATTGATAAAATCTGGGCAAAAAGAATTTTTGATGGGGAGCAAAATACCCAAAATACCTCATCTAATACATTATATTTTTTTTTAATGCCCACCCTGACTAAAGGGGTTCCGCCCATGATAAAAAGCTACTTCTTGTCCAAAATTATCCAAAAAATAATAATAAATTATAGCCAAACAAAAAAATAGTTGCTCATAAAACAAAAGTATGAAAAGTTGCTCTACACAGAACTCTCAGACTGGCATGAAAATTACCTCATCAGAGAATGAGGCTCTTGAAAGAACTTTCTTCCCATAAGGGCTATTGCGGAGCGCCCAATCATGGCGTTTGATAGTCGCTACCAGAGCAACGTGAAGATCTCTGTACATCTTTCATGATCATGCGTGACAATTTAGTACTTGAAGCCATATAAATGAAACAAACATGCAAAAATCCTCCTCTTAAGAAAGAAAGGAATGGAGAAAAGATGAAAAAGTACCTTGGATTCACTGAGAGCTGATTGCATTACATAGTTACCGTATTTATCTTGCAGTATCTGCCTTAGTCGAGGAGAGTTCATTAGTTCCTCAATAATTTGAACACAATTATTCTCTCCAGAAAATTTGAGGCATTTTTCAACCACATTGCTTCCGTACTTCTGCATTGATAGATGCTCATAATTGCCCTTTAGCTGATTCAGTACAGCAGCAATAGTCCGTGGGTCTTTCAGATCAAGAACAAATTGAACTACATAATTCCTTCACAATAACAGATTCAGGCAGGAGTCATTATTAATAATTGTAAAGGTATATATATATATATATATATTAAAGTATATTTTATAAAAACTTAAAAGAAGCCTCTTATTTTTAATTTTAAAATATATTACATAAATAATAATAACAGCCAGGTTAACATCAAATTTTTTCTATGACATTTTTTTCAAAATGTTGATTTTTGCAAAAGAACCAACCCTTTTATCTTCAATTGAGTTTAAAATATTTTATAAATTTAAATTTATTTATTATTTTATGATTATATGAATTAATTGTATATATATTTAATTTATATTATTATTATATAGAGTTTTCAGTTTTCAAGATATGATATTATAATGTTGTATCTAATGCGTGTCTATGTCATATATTTTTAATAATAGTTGTGTCTCATGTTCTTGCCGTATTATGTTTGTATCAATGTGTTCATAATAGTAAATCATAGTCTTAAATGGTAAATATGATGCATCATCATACCCATATGGATCTTTAGAAAGGAGAAGGGAGTAGGATGAGATCTTGGTCATAAGTCTCTTCTTTTGATCACCATCTGAATGTTTGAGACAAGTTTGAAGCACACAACAGCCTTGACGATCTTTGGCCAACTCAATACAATGAGAGATTACTGCGTCCATAAGATTCTGCAAGATAAAGGATGGCATGAATGTTTTATCGATCCAAATCCTATCAAACGTTATTTAAATTATGGTCTTACTGTAATTTAGTTCCTAAAAGGTCTCTAGAAGATATCAACAAAAAGCATAATATGTATAAAACCTAAAAAAAAGATTTTCAATATATTTGTCATAAATTAATAAGTTTCTTAAAAACTGCAAGCCAGTCAATGCTATAGAGATGCTTCACCCAAATAGAATAGACATCTAGCAACTTGACAAAAAAAAAAAAAAAAAAAAGGTTGGAAAATATTTTCATTGCAGAATATGAAAATTATTTTGATGATAAGTTTAGTGCACAAAGAAATATATAGAAATTCTACATCAAAAGCTAAAAGAAAGAGTTTAATTGAGTTCTAGAAACTAGGTACTTCTCACTTATTTTAGTTGTACTGCAAGAAGTGATGAGTGCAATAGTCTGCAATGATGAGCAATGGAATAAACATTAATAATTGTTCTGGATGCAAACTCTAAATATTGATGCACAACAAGCCAGAACAAACAATGCTTTCACTATTAGCAAAATTATGTTTATCATGATGCATAAGTTCCTTAATAAAAGGGGCATAAATTGTAGTTTTCAAACTCAAATAAAATTGGAAAACCAGTAGAATCTTCTATTTAGTTTATGATAGCTAGGGCATCCCTTCACTACTTGGCATAGTAAGGGAATTTACAAGATCTCATCATGCACACATCAAAGTCTTATGATGATATTTTTTCTCTTTGCATGGGTCAGTTTTCAAGCGGTTGATATTATTGACTAAGTATTCCAAGATGAAAACGAAAACGAAGACCCAATTTTTATAACAATGCCTAGTGAAGATGGAAATTAATAATTTCATATTATGAATAATCTGTAATTGTAGAAGCTAATTTCATTAACTAGCTTGAAGAAGATTTGATCTTTAATTTTCAAGATGGGATGTTACAACAAAGTCCTAATTAGTGGCTACCATAAAGTTCTAAATGAAGGTCATTATAAAATCTATAATGGAGGTTATTATAAAAATATAGATAATAGAGACTACAAAAGTCTTCAATAGTGGTTGATTATTAATGTTAGAAGAGAACTCTTCATTATATATTTATATAAACTCATATAGTCCTCACTTTCATAGCATCTCACAATAAAAAGCAACAACTACAGAGAAAGAAAGGAAAGATCAAATGAGCAAAGTTTTACTTTTAATCATGACAATAGTAAATCTAAAAATAAATTTTTTTTTTTTTGCTTCTTTTATAAAAAGAAGGACACACAAAGAAGAATTAATTTTCTTTGAAAAAGAGAGAGCAAGAACAGGATGAGAACTACAAAAAAGATAAGTCGGCTGATGCAAGTACTGCTACAAATTTTTCTAGTTGAGGAATTGGTGATGACTGAAAATAATGTGTAAAGAACAGTGGATTCTGGACTAAGCTTGTTCTAATTTAGGTATATTTTCCACATATAAGTTAAGTTCTAGTATTCGTGCTAATATAGAAAATAGACTATGTGCAAGATTTGAGGTTCTGGCACTGTTAAGTAAAAGTCGCATGATGGTGTAACTATCTTTTTGGATGAAGTCCAGTATGTGTCAGATTTCAAGAAAAATCTAATATATTTAATTGCTCTTAGTGTTAGAGGATATAGATTCTCGGGTCATGCTGCACCCTTAAGGTCTTTGAGGGTTTATTAGTTGATTTGAAGGCAAATAGAATTAGTGAACTCTATCTATATTTTGTAAAATACAATGCAACGTGTTGATGCGTTGGATTATACACCCATGGTGGCAGCTAATTGAAGCAAGAATAATAAAACATATATGGAGTCAAATATTAGAAAAGTCGAAGATGCTATGAAATCTATTAATGATGATTTGAAAAAAAATAATGTAAAATAAAATTTCTATCAAATTGAAACTTCCAAAGGAGGAGTGGACATTCCATGATAGGCAAAAATTCATAATAACTGAGCATCATAATAAAATAAATTCCATAAGTTTGCCACTGATGGACTAGGGTATTATAAAACTTTTATTAAGCTATGTGACTGATGCAATGGAGTTGCCACACAGAGAAGCATTCAATATGATCATTAAACTAGTAGGAGATTGTTAAGTATAGAGTTTAATTTTATCAATTATCATGGATAAGATTTCATCTTGATTTTTTTATGGCTGCCACAAAACTCTACTTGGAGACTACCACAAAATCCTAACTAGAGGTTACTATAAAGCACTAAATGGAGGCCACTACAAAATTTTACAATACAGGCTACAAAAGTCTTCAATCGTAGTTAATAATGAATGTTTAGATGGTGAACTCTTCACCATATAAACTCATGAAATCCTCACCTGTATAGCATTCCACAACAAGAAGAAACAAAATTAGAGGAGGAAGAGAAAGAGATAGGAGAAGGATGTCATCAGTCGTGAAACTATATATCAAAATAAATAAAACAAATTGTGCATGCATATTAAAATAATAAAACAATCCCATGAACCTTTGAAAGGTTTATATTTTCTTAGTGTTTAATTTTAGGTAGGACTAACTACAAATTTAATCCCAAAACTCAAGCTTAGACACAGATCTAGATTGCACTGACTTATATACAGGCTTTATAAAAATTTAAAATTTAATTAGTTTTGATGTATGGAGGGAACTCTGCAGAATTAATATTCACAGTTCTTTACTCTATGATGTTCATGGGATTTCAGCACATCATAATTTAGTTGAAGCGTTATGATGTCCTAACATTCAAAGTAATCAAATAACCAGCTTCACTTCCGACTAATTTGTAGGCCAAACCAGTACATTAACCATTGAAAAATATCAAAATTTACTGAAAGTTGCATTGTCGTAGGAGAATTATAATTTCAATAAAAAAATCTTAAGGTCTCAAATACATTTAGAGAGCACTAATTATGATACATATTTTAAAGAAAAAATTAAAATCAATGATAAGCTTCATTTTACCTAGGAAACAATGATTTTGTAGCATGATAAACTGCTTAAACAACATCATATAAAATAAAATCACCAGGGAGCACTAAAAAGTGCTCATATGCACAGTAAAACTGAACTCAAAGAAAATAATAAAATACTGAGTAGAAATTGACCAAAATTACAGATATCATCATAAATAATAATAATAAAAAGTTTTAATTTAGAAACTATCTTTGTTTGTATAGAACTCAAAAATATTACCATGCTATATTTAGAAAGATACTGAAAGCACCGCTGTGCAACATGATTTCCATTGATGTTTTTCATTAATGAAACTATGTATGGCTCTAAAGATGACAAAACGAAGGAAGCATGCTCTGGGGTCTTCAGAGTTTCAATTAGTTTCTGCACAGCACGAGTTCTGCACTTGATAAAAGAAAATCACTAGGAAATTAACGGTAAATAGTAAACATTACTATGGAAACTTGCATAATAAAAAAAATGAGAATCATACCCATGCATATCACAAGACATTCTAAACAGTTCACCAGTTGTTCGAGTAATGACCTTGAGTATGAGTGTCATTTGTACCTCATTACATAATTCTAGAAGCTTCTGAACAAAATAATTCCCAAAAGGATGAGTGATAAGTTCAACAATGTGGCAAATGATCTCGAAAAGGATCTCATCAATGTCTTCCTGACTACATTGAGTGAGTTTTTTCTGCAGAAAGCGGCATCCATGCTGATTCTTTGCCATCAAATATACCCTCCCAATGACATCATCCACAGAATTATATTTTATCTGCATTGGCTGTAAGGAAAGCCTGGGATCAAAGCCAACAGGAGGTGAATATCTATGGTTCTGATTGTCTAATCGCAAGAATCCATTACTCAGACAACAAGGCTGATGGGTATGGCAATCAGACAATCTCACATTTTTTTCATTTAAATGCAATGATTGATCAGTTGTGAGAGGATTAGGCCTAGGAATCGCAACTGTGTCTGCTCCATGAGACCTTCTCAAAATCTTTTCAGGAAAGGATTTCTTCACAACTCTATCAAAAATTTGTTGACCATGGAAATCTTTGACAGAACAAGTTGAACCATTACTAGATAATAATTTTTCTCCATGTGAAGATGAGGAGTTCTCAACCCTACCTGATGATCCCCAATGTTGATATTGACAATAATTCAACTGATTAGATTTATAATCAAGTACACTGGCATTCATATATGGATTTTGATAACACTGTTCAAACCGGCGAGGGATAGGAAACTCAACGCATTGGTGCACTTTATTCCCATTTAAAGGCCTCATACCCAAATTCATAATCTTTTGAACTTGAATGGCTTCAGGACTGTAATTTTGCAAGTTTTCAGCATATAAATACTGTGAATTGAATTGAACATATCTTTCAGAGAAGCTGCCAAATACAATCTCTGATATTGGCTTTGGTTCATAACCATCTGGTTTAAATAACTTCGGATTACGCCGACAATCATTTCCATAACTCAGATTGACAAATCCAGTTCTTTGCAGTATTGGAGACTGTGATTCAAGTTCAATACTTGGTAAAGTAACACCATTAACGGTTCTGGATAGAGGTGGAAAATTCATGTCTAACATATCATATCCAAAGAGAGATTTGCTTAGGTGATTGGCTGACTGCCCATTCGGCAAGCAAGTGATTTCGGAAGAGTTCTGGTTAGCTGGCGTTGAAGAACTTAGTATCATGGCTATATTCTCTTTGATTCTCATTTCGTCGAATGACATTGTGAGGGAATTGTCATCTGGCAAATTGGAATTATCTTGCCCAGCAATCATCTCAGAAATTTTGCAATTAGTTCCTTTTTCTTGGAGTTTTTTATCATCAGGATAAATCGACATGTTCTCTTGCTGTGTAGCAGGCAGAGGAGATTTATAAAGATTAAGAGACTTGCTTCTAGGAGAAAAAAGTTTAGTATCTTTTCTGCAAGGAGATTCCTTCTCTAACTCTAAGGAGATTATATCCAACCCCTGGAAAGGAACAATGAGCCTATGATGCACAGTAAGAGAATTCCCATAACTTGTATTGGGAATTTTTCCACCAAGAAGCTTATCATATTCATCACAGTCTTCCTCAGCTATGCCTCCTTCCATGACAGAAAGCGTGGTGTTTTATGCAGCTTCAAAATGCAAAAATAACAGCCAGTCCTTATTAGCAATGCAGATCCACAAATGAGTTACTTAAAGCCATAGAATTCCTATCTGCAACAAGAATCAAAGTACATTACAATAGGATGGTTAGCACACTTCTCCAAATCACATTCAATGAAACAAATAACATAAGAAATTCCACAAGCCTTCCAAAGACATAAGAATTCAACACATCAGCCAATGTTGCTAAGAAGGTGACCAAAATTATTGAGTTGTTGATGAAAGATTAACTGCCATTGTAAATCTCATCTATTGGTTCAATCCAAGATTTGTTAAATGCCAACAATATTCACGGGATTTAACCGATTTAACAAATTTCCTCTCACAAATCTTAAATCCCAATGTTCACATGCCAAACAATTTTCAAGTTTGAATTCTCTCAAGATATCATCAAATGATCTCCAACATAAAAATCACAAATGTCCACTCGAAAACAATCCCAATTACCTAATCAAGGATGCAAATCCAATTTAGCTTTTTAATCACAGAGATTCATAGAACCAACTCTATCTCTCAACATAAAATCAAATGCACCCAAATACGCAGAACCATTAAAACCCTGATTATCCAAAAAACATTTCTTGAGCAAAAAGAAACGCAAAATCAGGATAGGAATAGAAGAAACGTTAAAGCCCCATTACAGAATGATCGGTAAACACAATCGGATGGAATCTCCGAACGATAAGGATCTCACCGCCGATGAAACTCAAACCAGCGCAAAGTCACGAGCTGCCAAAGATGTTTTAAAAAAACCAGTTTTGGAATTTGGGAATGTGAAGAAGGAAATGGAGGACTCGCGACGACGGGTGGCGTGATGAAGAAGCCGGACAGCAAGGAGAGGTTTTTAATGGCGAGTGACTCTCTCCCTCTCTCCCCCTCACGCTACAGCATAGCCTCTACCAGTAGTTTCCATACATGAAAGAAGTCTTACATGCCGTTTGAGGTTTGGAGGACCATACCATGCATGGTGGACAACTTATATTTATTTATTTAGTGTGTAAACATAAATTCGATAAAGCGAAGGGCTTCGACGATAAATTCTTAACCTTTTTTAGAAAAGTTTACCTAATAATAGATTTATACATAAATAAAAAATGACATAAAAATATTATTAATATTAATTTATTTAAAATAAAATGTATATTTTGCAATATAAACATATATTCTAAATTAGTTAATGGGACCAATTTGTAGTCGTTGTCAAGCAACCAAAATGGCTCTTATGAGACTTGCTTCTTATACAAGAAAACATATTATTAATTAGTATTATAATGATTTTATTAAAAAGTCACCACCATTGCAAAAGGGGGCTGTTATTTGAAAGAAGGAACTAAATGGATGTTATAAATGTGAAATAATTCTTTCTATGTGATCTTTTTCAGAGAGATTATTCTGTGTGGTATCTGAACGTGTTCGGAGGTCAATTCAGATGCGTCACATCATCTAATGCACTGTGCATTAAGTGACGTGACACATCTGAATTAGCCTCTAGACACATTCTGACACTACACGTAATAAATTTCCCCTTTTTCATGGTAATATACAATGAAGTGAATGATGAATGAAGAAAGCCAACAATTTATAATCATTGTGATAAAAATTTCCTTGGTGATATACTTTGGGTATGGCACCATGGATGGTGATTAAATTTGAGCTCAAAATTTCATCAATAGTTACTTAAATTTGAATCACAATTAAAATATATAATCTTCAATTAAAATATAGTATTCAACATATATTGAATTCAACTTTAGATTGATTATATATAATGTGTTGGAATATTCCAAATGATAAAGATAGAGTTTATCGTTGTATTATTGTATGAAAATTTTGCATATGGAGAGAACTTCGACCAAAAAGGCGTGCATCTCTTTGGTAATGATGGTAGGCTTTAACATTGAAGTCGATGGTGGGCGTCTGCTTTACTGGTGACATCAAGTGTTAAAGTTACCTAGGTCAGCATCATCTACTCCATGTGTAATTTCTACCTCCTCTTTTTTTAACCTATCATCAACAAGTCTATTTGATTCACCAAATATAATATGGGTTGATTCCTCTAAAGCTTAGATTCTTTTGTTGAAGACCCTATAGGCTTTACTTAGTGAGGAATAAACTAATAAGACTCCTTCAAAACATTATATTAAATGCTGTTTAAATATTACGTGCAATACTTGCATACCGATTTTCAAAACATAGTTGTTAAAAAAAAAAGTTTAGCAATGCATGAAAAACCTATAGAAAATTTATCTTTCATTCAATATTTATAATTTTTTTAGTTATATTAACATTCATAGATAACATTCCCAAGATATTTTATCACTCATATTGAATAGTATTATGCTTGCATTGTATGGATCTATTTTGAAAAAAAAAAAAATTTTTACTTGTTAATGAAAAATTGTATTTCTTCTATCCATTCCTCCATTACAACCAAAAAAAGATAATTTATTTCAAAATAAATCATAGAGAAAAAGCTCATATGAGGCAGGAAATGATCTTTTTATTATATCTTTTAGCATCAAATGGCTAAAATATAAAGAGATTAAAAAACAAAAGCTAGATATTGTAAACCGTTTTGAACCAAAATTTTTAAATAACAAGTATAACAAAATTAAAAATAAATCACACACCTTGAGGCCAGGCTTCCACATATTAGCCTGCAACCAATTGGGAGAAACAATTGATTCATCATGGGCCATTGAATGAAATGACTTTTAGATTTTCACACCAAGCAATACACACTACAAGAAAAATATCAATCACCGGCGGTTTGTAAACCGCCAGTATAAAGCGCGTAGGAAACGAATTGCGGCGGTCAATTTCTGACGGTTTACTTTACCGACGGCATAAACGGCCGGTAAATTCCTACGATCATAGCGTCGGCGATCGCCGGTGCATTACCAGCGGCTTACCGACCATCCCAGACGCCGATTTTACCGGCGGCACAACCGTCGGTTAATCGCCAGCTGACTGGCGGTTTACCGCCGGTATGATAGTTGCGAGCAATGAATAAAATTATTAAAAGAAACCAAGGATGGATAGGCCACAAGAGTAAATGAAGTTCTGCTCTGCATACAAAATCAATTCTTTCAGCTTCCATTTATGTAATAGGAATAGCATAGTTAAAAAAATTAAAATATAAAAAGCAATCTTAAAAAATTTGCAATTTGTAAATGTTTATAAGAACTAAGAAATAGGGGTTACATATATAAATAAAAATAACTGATGAATCCAATATGACCTACTTCACATCCCTTTTCTAAGAATAACAATTAGGATAACATGCATGAACATCGACTGCAATCAATAAATAAATCAACCTTTGTAACTTAATAAAATGATTTTAAGTAAACATAAAAAGTTGTAGACAAATGATTGTGTGATACTGATATGGAAAGTAAAGCTGTGAAAAAATTATCCCAAATGATCTCCTAAATAAGAAATGTTAACTTGGAACTCATAATTAGCTAATTTGACATTTTGACAACATCAATAGGCCACTAAACATTAAAGATAAGCTTTTGTAAAGAAATTTTAAAAAAATGACCAAATTACAAAAAATAAAACAATCCAAACAAGTTAAAGTCAAAATACATACCATATATAATATGAAATCAGGGATTTTAAAAAATTAGACCATATAGACAATTAATAACTGACAGTAAGGAATATGAATATCAAACCTACATACATACAAGCTATAAGTCATCCCTTGAAAAAATAAAAATCAACCCTCCCCAATATATATAAGCACTTGAAAAGACTTCTTCATTTTCTCTTGACTAGAAGCTTCTCTCCCCTTTGACCACCTCATGTATTTACTTTCTTATGATCCTAGAGTGTTAAACCTTTCCTTCTTAAATTATGAAAATATGCAACTAATGTCTCAAAGCATGGAATATCATAGGAAATCCAAGCATGAGGTGTACAACATAGCTGACACGAGCATCATCATTAAAAACAACACTATAAGTACTACAGGAAATTCAGGTAATACTGGCGGTTTTTACCGGCGGTATACCTGTTTTTACCAATGGTTTGGAAATAAACCGACGGCTTTTTGGCGGTTGTCGAGCCGCCGGTAAAAACGGCGTCGGTAACCATTGCCGGCGGTGTTTTACCGGCGGTTTATTTCTCCGACGGCTTTCCGGTGGCCTATGCCGCCGGTTATCGACTTAGTTATTGTCGGCGGGGTTCCGGCCGTCAAACCGCCGGCAAAATCTACCGCCAGTTAGCTGCCGGGTCGTGCCGACGTAATTGTCAGCGGTTGTAGTCTCGACAAATAACCGCCAGCAACCGCCGGTAGACCGACGGATTACCGGCGGCTAGACAAACGCCGGTCTAGGCCGCCGGTAATAGTAAAATTTCCTGTAGTGAAGGTATGTGGAGGTTGGCATTGAAGTTGGCAAGCACATTATGAAGGGTTGATTCATCAAAGAGAGATCACCAAAGAAGCTCGTAGCTATGTAAATAGTAGAGCAGAGTGCTAGTGATGTCCTCACAATAGGCTTTATATGGCAAAAGTCTTCAAGTTCATTTTCTATGCTTCGAACTGCATAACATCAATCATAAGTATCATCAGTTTCCAGAAGGTCATTACAAGTTGAAATTTAACATGAGGTAAAGAAGTGCTGAAGAAAAAAAAAGGAAAAGAGATAATCATGAAATAATATTCAGTGAAAGTGTACCATATAACTTGTATATAATCGCATCTTCTTATAATTTGGACAGATGAAAATTCACTTAACAAAATCTATCTGCTGATTTAACTGGTAATCTTTACTTCATTGTAATAAATCCGTCAAAAATATTAACAACCTAAACTCATTTCTCCAAGCTCCAAGCTTTTTCCTCTTCCACACACTTGGCTCTCAAATCATCTCCATCATTCATATCCTTAATCTCTTTCAGGCTCACCTTGTTCATTTATCTTCCTCAAAGGGTTCCAAGTAGTGGCTCAAGCAATGCATAATGATGTAAAGAAATTAACAAAATTAAGAAATTTTTTATGCAAAAACAATTAGCTCAAAATTAATCATATTTTTTACCAAGTTCAATATTATCATAAATCAAAGAAAAAAATCATACTATTAAACTGTCAAAAAAGCTGTTACAAGAACCAGAACTGTGGTGAACAGGTTCCACACATATTCCAAATCTGATATCGCATGAAGCAATATTGGCATTGACATGATTCCATTTAGTAATTAACAATAGCAATCCCAGCTACAATCACAACAAAAACTACATTAAGAGCAACAAATAATGTTGATGTGTAACTCAAAGAATCTGCAAGAGAGGGGAACATAACTCCATTCAAAAGAGAAAGCATAGTTGAAATCATTGTTTTTCCCCCTTTCTTCTTCTTCTTCTTCTTCTTTCCAACTTTCATTTGAATTATCATTGAGTGCTAGTTGTGTTTCAAGCTCTCATCCTATTTGAGACACTTTATGATTTTTCTTATAATAGGTGAAAACATGTGATAAGGCCATTGATAATATGAAAAAAGGTGAAATTTACTTGGTTGTAAATGAAAAATCTTAATCCCCCTAACAAATTATAATAAAAATCTTCCTATAAACATAAATACTCGATCTTTAATGAAAACAAAGAATGCCACTAAAGAAGTACAATCTTGCTTATTTATGCTCTCTTTCCAAATCAGAGAACCATTAAGATAAATAATAAAACCAAAACCTTTACCTGACTGAAGAAACTGAAAATAGAGGATGAATCGTTCTCCAACTTATTGCTGAGGTATTTCATTGGATGGGAAACTGATGCGGAATCTAGGAGAGAGTTAGAGAGAGGAAACTATGATGAGAACATCAAATGTATGAGAAAAAATTAAGGCGGCTCATTTCAAACTCT